AGAAGTACAATTAAGTGTTCTGGAATACTCATACTTCTCAATGTTGTCCATAGCTTGTCATGATCCACACAATCGAAAGCCTTAGCGTAGTCAATAAAGCACAGGTAAACATCCTTCTGATATTCTCTGACAGTACTTAGCAACATATTCTGTCTAAAGCATAAGCCCCATAGAACCTTAGTTCTGATCTGTGCTATATCCCCAGTGCCAACAAGAGGCACTCTCAAAGATGGTTGATGATATTGTGTTGTTAATATTATGTGTTGATTATATGTGGAATTGTTAATACCATTAACACTTCCCTTCATCCTAACATTTGGACTAGCTGTGTAGTAAATGCTGAATAAATTTCTTAATCATTTTATTAATAATGACTGTCCTTTAAGTTATTCCTCATTTACTTGTGCAATTCTGCCTTTTACATCCTGTATTTTACAAAGAGCAGTCACTGTATTGCTGTCCTATACCTCAGTTTACCACATAAGCTATATCACTGGAACAAATACTTGGGCAAAGTCTTAAGGATTTTTCTGAACATAATTTGAGGCAATGATATTAAAGCACAAATATGTTAATCCTATTTTAATGTTAATTAAATATACATCATGATGATCTAGATTCAGTTAATATTCCTGTTGACACTCTTAGTTGATAACTTTTGATTCCTTAGTTATAAAATGAGAATGAACGAAATGTGTGAATTTTACAAAGGTATTGTTAAGTGCCATCAAGTCTGTTCTGACTTATAGCAACCTTGTATAGGGTTTCTAAGGAGCGGCTGATGAGTTTGAGCTGTGGACCTTGTGGTTCCAACCAGCCTTGAGGTCGTGTGCTTAACCATGGTACCACACTGGGGCTCTCTATAAGTGAGCAAGCAATGTTATTTCATTCCTTGGGAAGGTTTAAAGGGGGGTTAAAAAAAAAAATCAAACAAGGAAATAAAGAAAAGTAAAAAAAAAAAATAAAGCCAGGCAAATTGTGGATAATTTTGATCATGGTTTACGATGACAAATCAAGTAGAATTATGTGTTGCTATTATTCTACTGAAGAGATTTGTGCTTTTTCAACTTTATTGCAGTCAGTAACCCCTCGTTATTAAATCCAGAAAAACATCCATTACGTAGTTTTGCCTTTGTGAGGGGACTATGTTTGCTATGTTGCTTCATAACAATGTGTTGCCAAAGTTTTCCAAAATTACCACAGGTTTTTTTAAAGTAATTTCTAGAATGATTAATAACTCTATGTTTTTGTGTTGTTTTTTTTTTTAATGATTTTCCTTTACTTTGAAAAGCAATTCTTAAGATTTCCTAAAATCATTGCTGATGATGGTGGTTGTGTGCTGTGGAGCTGGTTCCGACTCATAGTGATCCTGAATAGGGTTTCTGAGGGTGTAAATCTTTACAGGAAGAGCAAGCCTCAAATTTCTCCTGTGGAACAGCTAGTGAATTTAAAGTGTTGATTTCATGTTTAGCAGCCCAACACATAACTTGCTCTACTACGGTGGCTCCTAAAAGCACTAGTGGGCTCAAATTCCAACTAGCTGGTTAAGTAGATGGTTCTGACCACAAATCAAACCAACCCAATACACAGAATACACGTTGCACATTATGTACTTAAAATACATTTCCTTTTAGTATTTAATCAACAGAGTTCTATGTACTTTAGCTATTTCTTTTGTTCTAGAAAAAAGATATGTTGCTTTGATCAATTTTATATTAAAGCTAATTGTTGTTAGGTGCCATTAGGTTGGTGCCAACTCATAGCGATAGTGTTTCTGAGGCTGTAAATCTTTACAGGAGCAGAAAGCCTCATATTTCTCCTTAAGAGTGACTGGTGGGTTTAAACTTCTAATCTTGTGGTTAGTAGTCTACTGCTTATCCTACAGCACCGTTGGTGTGCCATTAAAGCTAAGAGACCATTTTTAAAAATAGCCTTTAGTTTATAGGTTAAATGAAATTTCTTCATTAACTTATATTATGTAGCAGCATCCAGCATTTGCTTTAGGTGAGGAGAAGAGAACACACAACAAAGATCCAAATAATCATTTCCACAGAGGAACTTTCCTGTTATGCAAATGCTTTTTGTTTTGTGCTCTGGTGAGCAAGCTACTGTACCAATGCTTTTGGCATTAGTACAAGACTGAATCCATGGAAGCATGTGTGTATTTACACAAAAGAGGCTTTTAAGCTACAAAACTCCCTCCTGTTTGGTTACACTAATTTCCCTTGAATGAAGTTTGTATGCAAGCCAAAACAATGGTAGTTATCCTGTCCTCTAGAGTTCATTCCCAATAGAATGAGGTGAATAATTGAATGCTTTCTAGATAGCTCAGTAATACACTATTTTTATCCCCCACCCCCTATAATTTTGATCCTTCAATCATTAAAACAAAATCTGTATATCAGTAATTGGAATTTTCGTTAATATGCTAATCTATTCCTCAGCATTTCCCCATATCTTCTCATTTTCTGATCTATTTAAATCTGAAGTGGTGGTTAAGCTAAGCATCCCATTGTGGCATTCAAAGTATTTCAGGTGTGTGAGGCAAATGGAAGCATCTCAACAATATAATTAAGGGGATAGTGGGAGAAATGAAAAACTGATACTGAATTTAAGATTGTTTGGGCCAAAGGCCAAAACACAGAACCCAGTATCTCCAGTGAGCGCCTACAACAGCAAATGCATGACTTTTGTCAGTAGATGGCTCTGTTCAACACAGAGTCAGCCCCGGGAAAATTCCAGAGCCTGCAAAAGACACAAAATACTCTTGTCTTACCTTGGCTGCAGTAGGTCCTAGCACATGCACCATGCATGGGTGGCTGTACCACAGCAGTCTGTGAGGGTCTTGCGGTAACTTCTGCCCAATCACTGACATTTGTGCTCATCAGTACTCAGTATTCATATTTTGTTCAAGATCTAAGAGCAGGAGTGTTGTTGATAAACCTCATGGGATGAAGTCTTGGGAAAGCCACCAGGGTAGTAACTTCTTCCTTCCCTTGCGGTCTTCTCTTAACTGTGAAGTTTTCTACTAAACCATTGGGATGGGTGGGGAGTTGCCAAGATATAATCACAGATGTTGGTGTATCAGAGAACAGTTCTGGATTTCGGATACCTTCTGGGGCATCTGGGAATGTCCATACAGTCTGAGACTCTGATGAAAGGGAACATCCTCTTGAAGTACAAGCTTCTATTTGAAACTGGTAGGTGGTGTATGGGTGTAGATGGACCATTGTGCAACTAGAGACATTTCCAGAAGTTTTCAAGTAGAGATGACCATGCTGATAAATGCTATAATGGGTAATAACAACCAACATCATTCTTGAATTCACACCTAGAAGAACTGGAGCATCTATAGGTCCAGGTTCTACAAAACAGAATAAATTCAAGAAGTAATAATAACTCTTGGAAACTTCCAAAGAAACTCCCCAATCTCAATATAGAAGTGTGATTAATGATAACATCTATATACAAACCAAGCCAAACCACTTGATGCTAAAGTGATTCTGACACTTTGTGACCACATATATGTAGAAGAGAACTGCTCCATAGGGTTTTCAAGACTATTATCTTTGGCAGTTGATTGCTAGGCCTTTCTTTAGAGGCAGCTCTGAGTGGGTTACAATTACCAAACTTTTTGTAAGTGATCAAGCACTTAACTGTTTGTGTTACCCAGGGACAACTCTCTTTTAAGGCTATAAAAAGATACTAGATAAAGACCAGTAAATACATAAATTAGTGGCATAAAGGACCATGACTGCTTTGCTTATCAATAGACTGGAAATACACATTGAATATTGTTGTTCTTATGTGACCCATAGTGACTCTGTATAGTTTCCGAGGAGTGGCAAAGAGTAAGTATCCTCTGACCTTGCAGTTCAAACCTACCTTGTGGTCCAAGTGCTCATCCTACAGCAAACTAAAATTGGCATTTTCTTTTTGAAGGTGTCTTAGTCAAAATCAATTTTTTTTCTGTTGATTTTTTAAAAATTTACAGTTGCTAGTTGAAAGTATCTTTTTTTTTTAAGTTTTATTGTGAATTGAGTGATAGTTTACATGGGAGAACATCGGTTTTACACCATAGTTTCATTGCAATGATTACAATCTCCTGATGCATCATCATTCAACAGTATTTGCTTCTATTACTTCTGTTTTTTTTGGGGGGGGTGGGGCAGGGGGGATGTACACCAAAACACTCAGGAATATATAATAATTTAAACAACCAAAGGGCACATTCTGCAAGCCTCCCTCCTGGCTGTCAGCACTCAGTCTTTCTCTTTCCATGAGTCTAAACTACTCAGCTGCTCCCTCTCTCCATGTCCCCATCTCTGTCTCCATCTCTGGTGTCGCTGCTTTTCTGAATAGGGTCCCACATTCCGCTCATGCTATTCTCCCTGGAAGGTCCTAGGGTCCTCTGTTTTGGGACTGTAAGATTAACTACTCCCCCATTTTTGTCACAAAACTTCTACCTTTACAGTGGTGACAGTCATAATTAGTCATGATAACAATTACTCACTATTGAATCATAAGAATCTTATCCCCATCTCTCTTCACAAGAACCAATGAGACAAGATGAAAACTATTCAGTAGGGACTCTACCTTCCGCTGCACATTCTTAAACTAAATTCCTCCTTGAAAACTTGTAAGCCAGTCACTTCGTGCCTTTATCACCCCCTCATTTTAGGTAGCCAATGTTTAAGTTACCTGTCCCTCTCTACACTGTATACAGAGGGGCTGGTTGAATCTTGAGGACTGTTTCAAAACAGAGATATGAAGAGAGATGTATGCACACAAGAGAACATCTGTAACCAAAGTTCTAGTTTCTAACCTATTGTTTCTAGAGCCCCAAGATCTAATTATAATCAATAATACTATCATAACAAACCTGCATATTTTACAGCCCAGTAAAATCCGACAGCATCTCTCATTATATATTCCATATTATGCTGGCTTCTGTTTATCATTCTAATCCATGTTTTGCAATTTATCTACTCCCTGTTAATATTACAGGTGATTTTTTACTGTGACTGTGACAGAAGCTGCCGATTTAGCTCTTTCACCTACTGATAAATAAACAATGCACAGATCTGACCTTTAGGTTAACAGGTTTTATGCTTGCTCCACTCAGCACTCTAACTGATTCAATTATCATAAAGGTTCAGGAGGCTCCATGAATACTGAAAAAGGCCCACCATATGCCTGCATAGGTGTTGTGGAACAGCAAATATTCTGCAGCCCTCCAGAGAAATTCCTTAATTGTAAATAATTTCACCATGCGACACAATCAAGTCACCTTGAATGCAAACCCCTCAGCCTGCGGAGGCAAAGTGTTATTTAAGCTTTACTGGGCTGCGTTAAATTCTGCAATTTGAAGGGCTGTTAAGTTTTTCAATTGAAATTTCATTTAAAATGCAGGTGCTTTTTATTATATTGAGGCTTTACTGCTCTCTAGGTACAAGCAAGAACATGGTGCAATAACACAAATCTGGCTCAATCACTGATCAGTAACAGCTGTAATTCCAGAACATTTAGCATTCTTATAAACCACAGCCTGAAATCTATAAATTGCTACAACAGATCAAGAAAATACTATGTCCCCCTTTCCTGCCCACAGCAATTTTGACATTTATGAGGGTTTTTTTTTTCTGTGAACATTAGATTTTATTGAAAATCTTTAAAAAATAGATATAGTTGGATTTAGTAATTGTTTAAAACACTGTTGATTATGTGAGTGTGTGTGTGTTCAGTGTTAAACCAAAGGCTCACATTTTACATACAACCACTGCTTCACAAAGCCAGTAACTGTGGTGATAGCTGGCTCTATGGGCACATGTTCACACAACAGGATTCATAGATTTGTCACCCATTGACAGTAGAAGCATAATCATTTTTTTGGAGGAAAGATTTTACAGTGCACTAACCCTGAAATCAGGCTATTTCTGACAATTTGGCAATGTGCTCATCCTAAAAGTACAGTGATCTTGCTATGGATCCCATTTTGCATTTTAGTTTGTTGTTACCTTTCTTTTCAAAGGTTTCTTAAAGCCAAGGTAAAATTTCTTACTTCTGCTCTCTGTGATACAGTAGGGATTGTTGCTGTTGTTAACTGCTGTCGAATCAGTTCCGACCCATAGCGACCCTGTTAGGGTTTCCTCGGAGTGACTGATGGGTTTGAACAGCTGACTTTGCAGTTCAAACTGACCTTTTGGTCCTGCGCATTATCCTGCAGCACTATACCAGGACTAGCAATTACTATATTAAAATGGGGACGCAGAGGCTTTCTTATTTATAGTTGTCTAGATTTGCATTTTACACAAATAACAAGTGCAAGTCTTGAAGGTATCAATGTTGCTTGGGAAAACTAAATCCTCTGAGATTTAGGGTTTGTAAAATCAATGGTGGAGATTCAAGTCTTTAATGTCTAACCCTAGCTCACCTTCCTCCCTTCCAAAAAAAGAGAATAAAATCCATTTGAAAATCATAATTTTTTATTGGGGTTTTCACCAGGGTTTTGCATAATTACTCCTTATATGTGAACTATCAAACCATGAGCTTCTTCAGGGAAAAGAAACAACGATGCTGTTTGTTCTCTGTTATTAGGGGATAAGCCTTTCTTTTTCTTCTCCTGCCCAGGAAGATACTATTAAAGGTGAAACATCCGTGATAATGAGATGAACTTGCACTTCAAACCCCCACAGAGCACAGCCTTGCCTTACAGATGATCTGTTATCTTGAGAAAGAAGAGATGTTCAATTTCAATTTCATGATATTTTCCCCTTAAAAGCCAGCATACATTTTATTAGCTTTCCGCTCTAGCCGAGTAGTCTCCCTGCTCTTGTGGCAGGAGTGTCCTCCTACTTGAGTAATTCAGAAGAGGAGGTGCTAGAGGCTTAATTAGCTCCTTTGGCCAGGGAAGTGTTAAAACCTGACTCCTGGCATTCTTTCAATTTAGTGCTTTCAGATGATAAGCGGAATCATCTAATTCTATATACAAATCAACTGGCATGCTTCTGCCTGGTTGAAAGGGTCACCACAATTATGTAAAACATGAGTAATAACTATAATTGGGGTAGTTTGCTAATACAATAAAAAGCTCTGAACATGAGAAAAGTTATTCTCACAGCAGTAGCTATCACTTTCTAAAGTAAGAATTCATGGATGAAATGACATGAAAAAGATGGTTATAAAATTTTAATGGAATGATAAAAGGCAAAAGTCAGCCTCTCAGCTGAATTCTTAAAATCCCTATATATCACAATCAAGTCCTTAACTGTAAAATCAATGTGGAGTATAACATGTTGTCAATGCAGCTGTCACTGGAGGAGAGACTGGCAAGTATGACAGCCACGCAGCTCAGCCAGCCAGTGATGAAAATGCAGCCTTGCGGCCCTCTGTGTGGGTGTAATTGTTTAGAAAACTCCCTCGTGGAGCTGGGAATAGGAGTGTCCTTTCTGTTCAGTTCCCAGATTTGTATTTCAGGTCATTTCATTATAACATTAATAGTGGAAAGCAGTTTCATTTTGGCAAAGGAAATGATCTTTTATGGGATACTATTTTGCTCAACAGCTTCAAAAGTTCAACCTCAACCTGAGAAGAAAGGAATAAAATCATTAGCCGAGGTTGTGTTTGTTTACTTTTATACTCTGAGGTGTACATAGGGGTGGGTGTATGCATGTGTAACACATGTGGATGGCTCACAACTTGAATGTCCATATAACTTTACATGGGTCTTCTACAGTTATTTGTTGCTAGAACTACCCATGATTGTTCCAATTTTCCTGTTGTTATCACTGTTGCCCTGAAGCAAGTTTTTACCATTCTAATTAAAAACTCACTCAAATTATAAGCTCTTTTCAGTAATATCAACTTCATAAATTAATACCCCCTAAATTTTCTAATGAATAAAAAATCAAGGTGGCAAATATATGGCTATATAATTACATAGAGTAATATATTATACACTAATTGTTAATGTAGCCCTTTGATATTCACTACTGATATGTTAGCAGAAGAGTAGAGTGATGGATTCTATCTACTCTTTAATCATGAATTCTTTTATAAATTTATTATTTATATCCTAACTATTTCCCAAAGGCTTTTTGACAGCTCATGATAAAAGATCCAACTGTAATAGGGCCAATAAAATAAAGATAAAGACATATCAGTCTTGGACTGAAGAGGACACAGTAGCTGTACCCCAAAACAAATATTACAATTGGGCACTGTAGTTTGGGACAAAAATGAATTTTCAATTTCTTAAGAAGTGATCAAAGAAGCAATGGGCTGTGTTACATAGATGTTATTAAAAGGAACATCTGAAGACTGTTAGGATATTGGGATTGACAGAATACTATTTGAGTACCTGTA